AACTCCCATCTTTTCACGTGCTAGAATATATATTCTACTTCCTGGATTTCCCACGCCGTGCAGCTGCTGCAGTGGCTTTTAGCTCCCGAAAGCTGACGCCCAAATAAACGCGTTTGTCTCTAAGGTGCCACGAGGACGCCTCGTTGTTCTCTTTCCTTAAACCACTTGCTTATTTCCCAAAATGACACCTCCGTCAGCTCAGCTATCCCCATTTCATCCCTCACTCTCACAGACCTTGGGGGACAGGCCAGTCCTCGCTTACAAACACCCCCCAACCCGAAGCAAGTACTCACCAGCAACCACACATCACACCACAGAAACACCAACCCAGGAACCAATCCCTGTAGCAAACCTCATTGCCATCTCTGTCCCCATATCTACTCTGGCAACAGCATCAGAGGACCCAACCACAACAGCCACACCATCAAGGGCTCATTCACCTGCATGTCTACTAATGTGATATGTGCCAGCAATGCCCCTCTGGCCAAACCGGACAGTCCCTACGTAAAAGAATAAATGGTCACAAATCCGACATCAGGAATGGGAAGATACAGAAGCCAGTAAGTGAACACTTCAATCTCCCTGGTCATTCTGTAACAGTTTTAAAACTAACTTCAGAAACAGACTTCGAAGAGAAACTGCAGGACTAAAATTCATTTGCAAATTTAACACCGTTAATTTGGGCTTGAATAGGGACTGGGAGTGGCTGGCTCATTACAGAATCAGTTTTTCCTCTCCTGGAATTGACACCTCCTCATCTATTGTTGGGAGTGGATCACATCCACCCTGATCGAATTGGCCCTGTCCACACTGGGTCTCCACTTGCGAAGTAACTCCCTGCTCTCCATGGGTCAGTATATAATGCCTGCACCTGTAACTTTCACTCTATGCATCCGAAGAAGTGAGGTTTTTTTTATCCACGAAAGCTTACGCCCAAATAAATCTGTTCGTCTTTAAGGTGCAACCGGATTCCTTGTGTTTGTGGATACACACGACCATGGCTGCCCCCCAATACTTGACACCATTTCAGGTATTGTCCCGGGGCCTGAATGCCGCAGGCCGGCACGTCCTTGTTGCTCTGCGGGTGGGCCATTCCGTGCAATTTTCAGCCATGCTGACTCCCGGCGTGCCGTGAATGATTTAGCACATTCCTCGGCAATTTGCTGTGGAGTTTCTACGTTGCTTTGAAGACCGGTAACCTCCTCCCCTAAACCCGACAGACCTGCCCACACAGCTCCGACGAAAGAGCCTTTTTCTTATCCTGGGACGCCAGGGAAGCTACCACCCGCCTCTGGATAGCTGGCCAACCCTGCTGATCCCTGGGGGAGGCCGTATAAGGACCCCCCCATTTCCCCACCAGTTTATTAATAAACTCCTTAACCGGGGTTGCAGTAACGGGCCCGTTCAACTTACTCATCGAATCCATGGTGAGCAGAATCACAGAAGATCAGGGTTGGAAGGAACCTCAGGAGATATCTAGTCCCACCCCCTGCTCAAAGCAGGACCAACCCCAATGAAATCAGGCACGGCTCTCCCCTGGGATCCTCTTTGTGGCGCCAGATGTTGGAAGACGACTGGGCGTCCCCAGAGGCCGAGTTGAGTGGCCAGTTGTGACGGAGCAGGGAGTGGGGCAGATTTGACCTGGGAATGTTGCAGGGGGGTTGCAGTGGGGATGTGGGACTTCCCTTGAAGGGAGCTACCTGAGCTGTAACCTGAGCCAGGAATGGGGGTGGGGAGAATTAACACCTTCTGCCCGGGAGACAGAACAAAGGAGAGGAGGAGCTGGGGGGAGCAGGAAGGGAGGAGCTGCAGGAGGAGTTTTGGTTTGGTTTCAGTTTTGGGCTGGGTGGTGCAACGCA